CCCCCGGCCCTAGCACGTGACGGGGAGCCGCCTCAGGCGGGGCGGGCGGGGGTTCGAGGCCTCCTCGTAGGGCGCCCAGCGCTGCCCCCAAAACGTGGGGGTTTCGGTCTCCCGACATTTTCCTACGTTCGCGTACGTGAGGGAAGTGGGTAAAGGCAGTTTTCCAGAGGAGAGCGGCCGGAGGGGCAGCCCGTGCGGGGTGGCTGGCGCGCATGTTCATTCCCCCCCCTTGCCCTGGAGAGGTAGGAACCCCTAAAAGTTGAGCACGGGGAGTTGGAAGAAACAGAATTACCAAAATACGTTAAAAAGAAAAAACACAATTCAAGAGCAGTTCTTCAGTTAAGGTTAATGCACTTCACTCACCTGTAACCACAAAACCTAGGTGGCAGCATTTAATTGAGAATTTCTCTCCTTCGTAACTATCATGATGGATCCCGAAGAAGTATGGGGACACAGTCACAGGCGAGAAATCAAAAACCGTACCATGAACATCACCAAAGTACATAATTCTACATGATTCTGGTAAGGTTGCTTGTTATATAGTACACCTTATTTACACCCGCTAGGCATAAAGGAAAACCCGGCCCTTAGATTTTTCCCGAGGCAGATCTTACACAGAGCATAGCTGCTCGCTCCAGAGAGTCTCTGTGGACTAGCTTTGCTCCAAGGAAGGAAATCAACATTCTGGCATCCAATTTCACAAATTCTGCCCACCCACTTGTACCACTTTTCTCACCTTAATTTTCCTTTCTACAAAGTTATGTGAAACTGAAGACATTTAAGCTTATTCAAAGTAGTATTGAAAATTCATTAATGTCACCTACTTTATAAAATTAATTAAAATGAATAAAGCTCAAGAACACCTCAGACTTGGGTAAGAAGTAGTCTCTATGTTCCTATTGATTCTGTGCTAAATATACCTATATCTATATATTTATGGGATGAGAATGCTCATTATTTTAAATCAGTTCCTAATCTTTTACAAAATCTCCCAGATTAGTGGAATTCTTTGTGAAGGTTTGGTTAGTCTTTGCCCTTTTCATGAGAAAAATGTTTTCCCACAATGCTGGGGGGGAAGTAAACTATAGGAGACCATGTCTTTAACTCAAATGATACAAGCAGAGAGATGAGACAGAAAAAAAGATCATACACGTTCCCTACTACTTCTTTCCAAATAGCGTTACCACTACAGCGCTCTTGAAAAAAAAATCAGGTTCTTCAAAAGTAGGCAAGGAAATAAGTCAATGTCAAAAAAACCTCTCCCCCAATGATTCCAAAGTGTTGACATAGAAAGAAGGAAGTTTTAACTATACTGGCACAGCACTAACTTTCAGTGCTTAAGGTTTAGAGGTGGTGTGGGCTGAGGGGGTAAAGGTGCAAAAGATACTTTTGCTGTCCCTTCTCCTCAGTAAATAGCTGTATGGCTCACTGCAAACAAATGGAATTTTCTTTCTTACAAAAGAAAATAACAAAATCAGGTCCCCTCACTTCTGGAAATTATTGCAAATAACCTTCAGATGTAAAATTCCATCTTTGCTCACATGATGTCCTAATTTGTAACAGCAACACTCTAAAATGAGAACAGAAGTATGCCTTGATTCACTCTCCAGGCAAGCAAGGCATTTAGACAGAAAAGTGGGAGTGAAAAATGCTTGAAAAAACACACATATATCAGAGACCAAGTCAGTTCACAAAGTTCTTTTTAAAATTAAGAGAGGGCTGGTGTTTGCACGTAAACACTATTTGTGAGCAGTGTATCTTTCACAGAAGGGACAGAACACAGCATTAATATTCAGTAAAATCCCAAAGGGAAAATATATTGAGGTTTCCAGTCCCCAGTGCCTCATTGTTCTTTTATTTCCCATACATTTCAGATTTGCCGCAGTGTGTTTAAAATGTAAAGAAGAAAAATGCAAAAAGAGAATTTTTATGCTCGATACCTTATGGCATTTTGTGCTCTGAAACTCTTACCTTTAATGCCCTGATAGTTTTCCCCAACATAAATTAAGCCACAGGGACACTTCAGTAAAAATACTGTGTGTGCAGATTTCCAAAAGAAGAAAAGTAACCTTTCCGCATGTACCATCAACCCATGTAGAGATTAGGGAGGGGAAAATACTCCAGAAATTCCACAGAAACAGCCTATATACCCTTGTCCTGCTCCTTTAGTTAAATTGAATACTTAAAGATGGAAAACAATAATTTCCCCCCATTCAGATAAAACTGCTGGTCTCAACTATTCTTGAGAGCATCCTCAAGAATGGCAGGCTCCTGTCCTAAAGCTTGGCCATATTAATTTTTTCCCTTCTATCCAGCCAGAACTTCCCTTTTTCACTTTGCAGCCACTGGCCTCTCAGACTCCCTCTGTGCTTCTTGGCAAAGAGACTGGCTTGGTCTTCTCGGTGCCCTCCCCACAGCGGCTGGCGGCTGCTGTTCGGTTCCTCCCCCCTGGGGAATTGACTGCACCTCCTTGTTTGGGTTATCTATCTGCAAAATTGCTGGGGGTGCTGGCATATGGGTACCGCACCTGCACCTGGGCAAGCGTTTCTGTCCTGTGCTGTCCTAGCACGTCCTGTTCTCCTCGTCGAGGTCGTCTCAGTTGGATGACCCACCTCCACCTGAGCGGGGAGTGTCTGCTTTTACTATTTCTCCCAGCTGTGCAGTCACAGCAAGTTGCTGGTCCATGTAGTGGCCTCCCTCGTACGTTCTTATTTGAACGTGGTTATCAAACACTGTGTTGAGAAGAGGCGTATCTTTTCTTCATATCAAAAAGCACACCTCCTTGATGGCACCGATTAATTTCTCAGTTAAAGACCTAAGAATGTAATGCTTGCAGAACAGAGTTCAGTCCAGGCAGAGACAGTCAGTTCATCTGAAGGAACACAATGAAAATGTACTGGTTTCGCAATCAGCTGGCTCAGACTCCTTAAAAGTCGATGTGTTTATATTTAACTTTTATTTCCATAATATAATTTAGGAAGTTTTTAGAATAACAGCGAGTGAAATATCTAATTTACTATAGTTTCTAAAGGAATGAGTTCCAGCTGCATAATTGCTATTAAATTTTGTTGCACACAGCATTTCTGCTTGCAAGCAGCCTGGTTACAGCTTACTGGTTAGTGACCTGCTTCTCATTCCTTTTTCCTAACAGTATTAAACACTCCCAGGGCCTGAAAAGCTTCAACTAACCAGCACCCAACTGTACAAATGTACACTCAAATTCAGCAGTCCTTTCTCATTGTTAACATAGCATATTAAGAAATGATTCAGTTTTCAGTCTCAATATCACCACCTACTGATCAACTCAGGACAGAAGAAATGAAGACTGCTGAGGAATGAAAAATTTTGCTAATGATAAAAATGAAGAAACGGAGCATTAAAGGGAAAAAGAAATCTCCCTCTATTTTAGCAATTTAAATTGAAGGCGATGCAAAAGCATACAGCGGAAAAGGTCATTAAATGAAAATGGTGAAGCCATTTTGCAGGTTTACCTTTTTTCTAGGGGGTTTTACCAGATGATCGTAACATGACACGGTGACAAATACATTCCAGCTGAGATAAAATATGTAGGTCATGCTGAGTTGGCAACATTATAAACCACTACTGGGAATAACATAGCTTCTCTGTGAGATAATTTACCTTCTTGGGATGAAAAGATAAATGTGAATTAACAGGGAAGAGTCTGAAATGTCTGAGCTGTGCTACTGATCTACTAGAGACCTAGATAAGTCACAGAGAAACTAATGCTTGCTTTGCTTGAGTTTAGTGATGGATGGGATGGCAGATTTAGCAGTTAAGGGGCTATCACTGTCAAGAAAATCTTAGCACTAATTTTTTTTTTTAAATTATCATGCAGTAGTAGGGAAAATATGTCCCATGGTAGAAGTGATCTTTTACTTATGATATTATGGACTGTAAAAAAAAAAATTACGAGGAACAAAAATACTCAGTGCTTCAAATATGATCAACAAAAATACACCTGTTTCTGATGAGAAAAATGTGGTTTTAATAAATATTTACCAGTAGTATTGAATTTTCAAAGAATAAAGAGAATAAATGTAGAATCTCAAGCCAGAAAGGATGTCTGTGCAAAGGACACAAGAACAGAAATTGGTCTTATATGAGTGCCATGGTCAATACTTTGTTTCTGGGCTTCCATCTCTCCTCTGTCCTACTGGTCAAGAGTAAAGCCTGTAAGCTGTGTGTCTAAAGGCTGACGTGAATAAAACTATCAGAATGCATTTATAGCCACACCATGGTATACATGTATTTCTGGGTAAACTCTTAGCATTTCCTATTAGTATTTTTACTGATTTATTCAAGCTTATAAAGCACCCACCTATTCTTCTAAGGAGATACATTGTTTTTAAGTACTGAATACATAAATTCCAAAGAGCCCATGAGAATTTTACTGCAGAGTGACATTACACTCCAATACTTCTTACAGTGGGTCTTTTTTCTGGTTTGACATGAAATAATTGTTATTCTGATTAAAAGGGCAGGCTAACAGCAAAACATATTTCTTAGGTAGTTTGTAGAGAAGATCTTTAAAAACAAAAACTGTAGTGCAACTACAGTAGATTATTCTTCTGTGCAGGCAGAAAGATAGACAGTCAGTTCCAGGCTTACATGTTGACAAAAATCCTTTTTTCATCCCACAATCTCTTAGCTCCACATAATTGTTGTCATTTCTTTGTTTCCGTATTAGCAACGCCAGAAAACATAAGTGCTTCTTGAAACATGCAGCCCAAACTCTTTTGATGCTGTAAAACAAAAATAAGTAATTAGGACACTATTTCATAACTCATATTCAAGTCTCTCCAGCCACCATTCAGCCTTTCAGGATTTGTTCATGCCTTAGGCCCTCTGACTGTTTCTTTCATATTCTCTTTGGGTGCTTCTGTTTGTCTGCAGCTTCTGTCCTGTTCCTATTACTCCAACCAATAATAAGTTTTTGCCTTTCTGCATCCCTCCCATTGATCAACATTATTTACATTGTTAAGTACTTTTTTAAGTCTCCTATGTAATCTATAGTTTCTTATTATTGCCCTGCTTTAATCTATATTGCAGTTCAATTTCTTCTTATAGGTAACCTGAAAAAAAGGCAGCAATTACACCATCAACATCAACAGAGTTTTGTACAACACCCATTCAGTGGACTTGGAAAATGACCTTTTATAGCAAACAGCAAAGTCTGAGCTTTCTTGCCAACTGGCTGCCTGGCTAGTAGATGTGTTTGGATTATGGAACAGGGCATTTGTTCTGTGCATTTGGCACAACTTTGCTAGCATTCAGTGACTAAAAAACAATTGGAGAGCCACGTCCACACAGTGGTTCACGACACTTTTCACTGTTGATAAAACAGCAATTTTGTGCTCCAGAAAAAATTCACCAGGGAAGTGGTGAATTCCCTCTGTTCCCAGTCTCTAAACCTTCAGCATGATTCAATTGCTGGAAACCAACAAGCCAGGTCTGTCGAAAGGGCACGTTGATGCGGGGCAGCGAATAGCTGGGGGTCACAGCACTGCCAGCGGCTCAGTGCCGAGCTCCCTCCCTCGCACCGTGCTGCCCTGGACACTGTGGATCTGCTGCTCAAAAGTGGGGCTCGCCCAGCTCCGAAAGCTGCGTTTTGTCTGCTTCTTCGCAGTCGGACTCTGAGCAACACCCCAATGGTAACTCCTATACGCAGGAACCTTTGGCAACTTTTCCCCTCACCAGCGTGCGCTCCAGTTCATGCTGTCGCTCCGCACACGCTCCAGCAGCACCAAGGGCAACCAAAGCTGCACGCTGTTTCCGCTGAGTGGATGACAAGCAGGCGGTTCCCTCACCTGACCCCCGTCAAATCGTCGTAATTATATTCCCGTATACTCTTTTCCTAACTCTGACCTCCTCCTTCCAAAACCTAGAAGTGCCTGTCCTACGGGTTGTGAACATGGGGCCCGTGCCACGCTGCAGACAGCTGCCTGCTCAGGGGCAGGACCACCGCGGTCTCGCCCAAATGGCTGTGCTGTGCATCACTCCCTGTGTCTGCTACAAAATGTGCTCATTCCTTCTTAGTACTGACACGATCAGACAGCTGGTTCAGAGGCACCAGCTAATTTTGGTCTCCGAACAACTGCAGGGAAGCAGGGCCCTTTGCCGTGTCTCTGTAGAGAAGGAGGTGTAGTGATACCATAACTACTGTTTTGCTTGGAAGGAGAAGAGAGGATGAGGGGAAAAAGTCCTGTCATTTCACTGAGAAAATTTCAGGTTATCATACAGAAGTGCAAAAACTAAAGAGGGCAAGACTATAAAAGGAGTTCCAGCAGTAAGCAACATTCGCTTCCCATTTGATATCTTAAGACAAGTTGCTTACTTGAAATCAGAAAAAATGTACACACATGTGCTGTAAAAAGTAACTATAGAGTTTGTTAGTGTGTATGCCTTGCACAATAAGCAAACTTAGTTTTGAAATAAACACTTGCACTGAAATTATATTTCTATAATTTATAAATCAAACTTTATCTAATGTCCTACAATTGGACACTACCTGCAGAGTACTGTTTAACTACTCTGAACATTTACACACTTATCTTTTAAATATCGATAATGCCATTTTTCATTTACACGACATGAAGTCCCACAGGGAATAATTATGATAATAAACCTTAATGATTCTTGCAAATAAATGATCAAACAAAATTGCTACTGTTGATTTATATTAATGGATGCCTTCAGGAGGAGATTTGTCAAGATGTGCTGCTTCTTGAATCCCAATTCATCTTATTTAGCAGAAGAATGTACATAGTTTGTAAAACAGATTAAGTGTTTAAAATACAATGTGTTCATGGAGTTTCTGCAGTTCAACGTTCAAACACTATTGTCTTTCCATATGGCAAATGTGCATTAAATGGTTTCTTTGTATACAGCTTTATTCCGTCCTTTTTCCCTGCTTTTGTCTCTTGTGGCTAAAATAGTCCTCCACTTGCAACCGTTTAAGATAATCTTCTGTTAGTCATGTAAGAATCAGTGATCATTTTCTGTCCTAATAGATGAACACTTCTGCCAAACAACTTTCGCTGCAACGAGCCTAGAAACATTTTTGGTGCTTTAATAACGGCACATCACCTGAAGCTAGTGCCGTACAGCATTTTATAGGATAGGTTAAGATAAGCACTTACTATTTTTCTTCTACTGTCGGATATGCTGGAAATTCCCAGTCCCCATCCATCTATACTTTTGCAATTTAAGAAAGTTCATTTGGAAAACATTTTACATCCGCTTCCCTTTTAGATAGTACATAGGTTTGAAAGTAATATCAATATGTTTCTTTTACTCCTGATTATACAGGGCAGGACATATTTCACAAGTGTGGCAGGAGAGCAAGCTAAGGAAATAACAGGAGAAGGAAGTTTATGTATTTAAACTTTACTGCAGCTAGAAGAAGAGAATAAGCACATGCTTTATCTCTTCAGCGAAACACACACATACAAGTGCAAGGTGGTGGGTAAGGTTAGAACCAGGCAGAGGAAGCAAAAATGCAGCTCTGCAATAGTCCGTGCCCAGTGGTGAGAGTCATACAAGTAGGCTTAATTGTCTGCTTGAACAACTTTGTTAAATTGACGAACTCCATCAGGATAAGAGCAGAATGAAGACACACGATATTTTTGCCCTTGAGGGAATAATATGTGTAAGTAATCAGTAATTTTCTGAAACTTCGACCCATCAAGAGATTTTTTTTTTCTTTTTTTCCTCCTGTTTGTCCAAAAGTTCAGTTTCAAAGAAGAGATAAACAGGCTGGTATGCAAAGATTTTCTTTGTCTCATACTGTAACATGTCATTATACATCCAGCTGAAACATGGCACTAATTTACTCCACGCACAAGGAAACCAATAACTGCAGCACACGGATGAAAGTCTGTAGTAATACTCTAGAATGAACTGCTGGTTTGCACTACTTCTTCAAATAGGAACATTCCTCAAAATCCTGTCAGGTAAGTCTTTTCCTTTTTAAACTGGGGTCTAATCTTGCACACCCTGAAAGCAATGGAAATTCCAAACATCAAAGAGCTGCCTTATTCATACTAATTTTCTTACAGTTCGTGGAGTAATAATGCTCAGATTTCTCACTTCCACTTTAAACACTGGTACAAAAGTCTTTCTTCTGCAATGCAGAGTACCACTGCTGCACGTGATGGTGGCGTTTGCCAGGCCTACATTTCTGTTCAACAATGAGAAACTTAGTCTCGTTCTGTTCATCCCTTGCACATGGGTTCTTCAGCAGCTCTCCAAGCAACTAGCATGGGGGAACATTTTCAAATATGTAATTACTTTTTGTATGTGACAGCAGCAAAGAGACTTGGAGCAATTATTTGGATTGTACACACATAGGGGATTACCCGTACCTGAATTTTGGCTTTGTGTGTAATTTGCTGCATAGCATTCAGAAAACTATTTTATCTTACTGCATTTTTGCTTGGCTGCAATAACGGTTGTCATACTTGCAGAGGAGCAGCATCATACGGATTAATATGTTTATACCAGTTCGGCATCTGAATACGTACATCAGTGCGTATTAATAGCCATCACTGTGCTACCAGGACTCACACTTCGCCAGAAGCATGACTGCCATTCTCATCATCCTCTCTGGTCATTGCAAGTCGTAAAGCAGTACTGGTCTCATAGTCTGATACAGGCTTTCTAGGAACAGCTGATGGCCCATTTTCCCAGGAGGTCTCTAGGGCAGTTTGGGCTCTCAGGTAAACCCAGAGCGGACAGAAGCACCACGCCCCGAGCCACAGTGAGCTGTGCTGCAACTCGGGAGCCTTAGTCCTACCTGCAGCTCTCTGTGCCTCAGTTTTTCTAAAAATAAAATGGGAGTCATGCTTATATTTGCTTAGTCCTTTATTAAAGCTAAAATTGAACTTGCTGTTTATTACTTTTTTGTTACTTTGATTTCTTTTCCTGGAAGATGCTCTACCAGAAATTGTGAAATTTTCTTCCTTTAATTCATTTAAATTAGTTTCTCTCAGCATAACATTTTTCTCTCCTCTCCCTGGGCAATAGCCACGCTTCAGAGAAGTGAGTCTTCCGGCAGCATTCCCTCCCGTTTTGGTACAAATGCCACCAGTGAGGACCTGCCACCCTCCTTGATGCCAACAGAGCAGAGATGTTTCTGTTAGACTGGCTCCAGCAAGGATGGAAATCCGAGCTTTTGTATGTTAGCTCCTGCAAGCAACAGAAAAAAAAAGGAGCAAGAGCTAGTCTGCCTACCTTTTTTGCATAGGCTTTCCATTTCACGTAGGCATCCCTGCAAGACCTCATACCTCCACAGAGTGGTAAATAAGCGCAAGACAAGGGAAATAACGGAGACTTTTGCTTCTAACGCAAATGGCTGCTCAGGACAGTAATAGCTGAGAGAAAAGCACTGAATCATTTTTCACTTCATCTCCACTCAGTAATGCATAGAAAGTGAATATATAAATACACTGAAGGAAAAAAACTATTAAAAAAAGCAGCAACCTTAGGAGGTCAACACTGGTTTTGAGGGTCTATCAGGACAAGAGATCCAAACTCTGCTAAATGTCCACTAACTTCAGAAACTGAGCTCATCCCCGTCTCCCTAGCACTTTCGGAACTAGAAGATACAAATAGAAGTAACTCAAGCTCCTCTCTTCCCTCCCCACGTTGTCGTACATGATGAAACCTGCGGCAGTGAGAAAGCAGCACAAGATGATGAACCAGAGGGATTTGGGTGTGTGCTACCTCATACTAAGCCACACTTTGTAAGGGATTTTTTGTCCCTCTTTTTACCATAATGTGTCTAGGGGCTCAAGGACAGTACAGCAATGACTTACAATGCCACAGCTAGGGGGACGGGACATGTCGAAGAACAAGAAATTCCCTCCCTTTGCTACAAGTTTGCTGGTCATTATGTTGGTCCCACATAACATAGCTTCAGCTGCTAAACTGCATTGCAAGAACACTAAATGCTTTTTTCAGTATTGCTCTTCCATGCTAGCAACTGCTGTAGTTACAGAAAGGTATTACAAAACCTGCACAGAGAAAGGCTGTATCTACTAATTCCCAAGTGGGGAAATGAGAAAGTTCAGCAACTTCCAGACCATGACACAGTGTCCATTCTGGTGGTGCGTGTTAATGCTGACAGCTTTCCCCTTATACATATACTAGAACTAATCCATACCTTTCTAACTCAGAGCAATTTCCTGTCCTGAGGAAAAAGTGTCTTCTCATTCTAAATCCGCTTTAACGATTATGCCTACCCCATTCCACCGAGAGTGTTCACAGGGAAGAGACGTTAATCTATTTAGCTTCACGAAGGGTTTCTCTCTGACACATGCTCTTCTAATAAGCCATTTATCAGGATGAAGGGTGATCCCGAGAGAGTGCAGACAGCAGGACAGCCTTAGCCTGAGTGACAGTCTGTGCAGCAGAGATTGACTGTAATGAAGCACAGAATAAACGAGACGACTAAGAGAGTACAAGAATCAGTGAAAGTTTTGAGTTCACCTGAGCAGCTTACTGTGCAGCACAGATCTCTCATCGACTTATAAATGTTATGTGGTTTTTTTTTGGTTGCAAAGGATCACCTAAAACACACAGAAATCTCGCACACAAGAGAACGCTTTCTGCTTTATTGTCACCCATGAGAGGGTACCAGCTTTTAACACAGAAACACTCACAAATTGTAGGTGGACAGGACACTGGCAATTATCTGGTACGACCCTCTGCTCAGAGTTGGGCCAGTTTCTAGCACGTTGCGCTGGGTCTCAGCGCTCTGGGATTCTCTAATTCCTTTTCCGTTGATAACCTTCTGTAGATACTCATCATGAAATTTCTTTCTCTGCAACTGAAATCTCACAACAGTGTGGATATATTGTTTGGGATGACTCTTGGCAAAGTTCAAACTGTAGCATCTCCACTTGAGTCTGAAGTCAGGTTACTGCCAATGGACAGAAGCAGGTATTACTGCCAGTTATATATGCCTACCTTAGGATGAGTTCATGTCAGCATCATTCTCCACTGTCTACTAGTGGAAAAAAGATCAACTCTAACACAGACGTCTGTGGACAATGACTTTCGTCCACAAACATCAGGCACGTAGTCCTGAGGTGTACCCTAGTCTTGTTCTTCATTCTGACAAGTGTGAGACTCACTCTCGACGTCTCTGCAACATCTTCATCGTACTCATCTTTTGTTGGAGTCTGATAGAAATTGATAAATGGAGACTGAGGCTATGAAAGGAGAGAAGTTCTTAGTCAGTGATAACAAGCTACGAATGTAGAAAGGAACCTCACGACTACAAAACCTCACTGCTAGAAAAGCCTGACTACAGCGTAGTCATCTACCACCCCACCAACAAGTAAGACTCGTTAAATCTTCTTGTCCGTGGATGATCTAATGAATTTAAATACACCATTCTGGTCAAGAAAAGAAATCAGTCACTCTTCCTTCTGCAGATGCTAGTATTGAAGTGTACACAGCAAAATGACACACTGAGTCAGTGTTCCCTGTGAGGGATGTGGTGGACAGACATTCATATTACTGGAGTTATCATACTTTCAGCTTTTGCTAAGTTGTGCTATGTGCATCAGTAAGCATTCTTGCAAAAGCACAGGCTAACTACGGGATCACAAGCACAATCAAGAACATCAAGCTCAAGAAAGTAAAAGCAGCAGGCAAGCTGTACTTCCATATCCTAGGATAAAAGAATAATAAGGTAACAAAAAAGCATACCTTATTTTTACCATTGATACAACAACTATAAATTTGGGTTGGGCTTTTGCATGCAGCTGTAGTAGAACTGAAAAATAACTATAAGGGTTGGAATTAAAGGGCCAAAGGTGGACACTTAAAATAGCAGCATGTTATGTCTAGCTCCCTAAGTAGCTAACATCAAAAGTTAATGCGGACTAGAACAGATTTTACTCAAATTAAGTATTTTACATCTTGTCTTTCCATTACTGATTTTCCTCACAAGACTACTAGACCAATTACTAAATTACAAAAGTTATATACAGTGTATAAAAGTAAATATGATACTCCGACTCAACAGGCCAGCAGGCCTTTCTGCCAGCTAAGTGGGCAACACTGCTTGTATGGAAAGACTATTTGCAGGGAGGTAGATAACACTGACTCATCTAGATTAAGCGATTCTTTTGCTCTCTGCTCATTGAGGAAGGGAGTTAAATAAGACACATGAAAGCCTGACTTCCTACTATAATTTAATTTGTCCAGCATTGCAGCATGCATCTTCTGCAGATTAGATTTTTAATGACTACCCCTCAGCTAATCTCCTAGTTTCAACTGGTGTGCAACATCTGATCTGTTGGGACCACAGTACAGTGGACACTCATCAACAAGACTTCAAATGAGCCGAGTGAGGTGTTGCGAGGAACATAGTTGTGGCAGCAGAGAACTTTGTATGTTTTAACAGCTCAGACTGTTCAGTCACCCTCCCTCACCTTTACTAGCCATTGTACCAAAGCTATTCTTGATTTCACTGAAGTGGAGATACAAGGCTGGCATCCTGAATTGCCTGCGCTGTTGATCAACGAAGGCAGACAAGACTGGTTCACTAGGAGTCTCAATCAGACATCAAGTTAAAGAAGCCATTAACACATTTGCAGACCAAAGGCCCTGGAAATTAATAATCCCTGAAGCAATACAATACCCACTCGACATCTGGCTAACCCCTCCCAGGAAAAAAGATAGCAAAGCCATGATTCTAGCTAATGTAAATCAGAAGAGATGGGCTGGAGGAGCCTGTGACTAGTAGGAAGATACCAGAAGCTATATAAACTGGCAGCTTGCTCTTCACTTGCTCTTAGTTACAGCACTAGAAGGGTGAGCTAGGTTCAGTAATAAGCACGCAACAAAGTTCAGTCATCGACTTAATTTCTGATAATTACCAAAAAAAAAAAAAGGAGATGCTCCTTAACAAACAGGTATTTGCCTAGTTTACAGAAATTCTCCACAGTACCATGAAAGTAGCAGTCGTTCCGCTACGATTATTAGAACCAAGACTATGACACCTGCAGTAGGATGGCCTGGAAGTTACTCCTTCACTGGCTGCCCAGGCTACTCAAGAGGTGGAAGTGGAGGCGTGCGACAGGGACCCTGGCAGGCACGCTCTGCTCCTGCTACGAAGCACTCCAGCACAAGGAACCTAGAGTAACAGTCAACTAACTACCTGTTACCTCAGTAATCCTTCTTCTAAATCCAGTCTTCTACCTTTGAAAGCTTGATTCAGTCAACTTATAAAATTAAGGAAAACATTCTGCATAGAAAGGTACAGACCACCAGCCACATACATACATTATCTGTCATAACCGGTTCCTATATTATAACAATAATATATAGTTGCCTTTTGATTGGCATAAGGACTTAGTTATTATACATCACTGTTCACATAACTAGTCTTCACTGAAAACTTAGGGCGAGCAGGGACTTTCTTGCCATCCCGACAAGGCGGCCACGGTTGATAAAAAAAAATCATATATAAAGATAGCAAAACTAGTAGAAACCCCATATGCACAGCAGCATACCACAGTCTTTTGTCTATATTAATTTTTACGCTTTAATAGCTCATAATCCTAGGACAATAAAAATGAGTTCTTCTGCTACCCACAGTATCTGATGCCCTCCCAGTACCACCCTTCCAACTGATATTGCAGAAAGAAAAGAGAAATACTGGAAAAATAACAAAACAGAGCATAGTAAAAATAAAATAAGTTTGCAACAGAGATGTAGCTTATTTAGCACATTCTTTACAAAGAGCAGTAACGCAGAAAAACAATGATGGGCAGAGATGGTTATCCAGTGGTCTGTAAAAAGCACAATTACCTGCGTTAGCTGTGCCAATTTAGAAGACACTGAGGCTTATGGATGAGCCCATAATCAACAAAGCAATGCTCCTCTATTTTCAACCTTCTTGAGGAAGGCAATAGAAAATGAGAATCCGTTATAATTCTAAAAATTACTATGAGACATTTAGCATAAGCCAGATATTCTCCTCATGGGGAAGATTAATGATATTTGAAAATCAGAAATCCATAAGCTATGCAATGTAACGGTACAGCCTACTTGATTGCCAGACCCTTTAGGTTATAACATATTATGTAGCAGTTCTTCTAGAAGCTCTTCACAAAAAAGTTGCTGGCAGGGGTGCAATGCTTTTTTCATAGAGCTCACTATGAATGGAGTCACCATAACTTGTTAAAACAGATATTAGCTCTTCATCTGCTTAAAAGACTATTTTGAGAGGGGAAACATGTTATCTTACCTTCACACACCTCCTTAGAGTACCAAAACTTTGGTCAAATAGCTATATGGCTTTCTGCAAAATGCAGCAGTGTTCAACATTCAGAAAGAAAACAAACATTCCAGGATCCAAACTACATTGGAATTTGGATCTCATGATTCAGAGATGCTGGGTTTTTAAAGTTTGTTTAACTTAACTTCAGTATTTGAATCTGTATTTAGATACGATTCTCAAAACTTTTACAAATAATGGACAGTTCAGAATAGGATTTCACATTTGCTCTGGTAACAAAGAATTAGTTAAAAATTTTCTTTCTACTCACCTGGTAAAGAAGGATTCCAATATTCTGCTCTTCTTCCATACATTACTCTACCCAGATAATTTTAAAATCACTAAATAATTACAACTTCGTAGAAGATATAATGGTTAATTTACACTTTTGCAAACCATTAGAATAGTTACTTCAAAACAGAACATTACGTTGTTTGTGAGAGTGGTGGAAAAACCAGCTTTACTTTTCCATAGCAAAGGTGGGAAACCACTGCACTTTTAAAGTCAAGCCTGGTAACTGGTATTTTGAAGGTTATTCATATGAACTGCAAATGAAAGACCATTTTCAACCATTTGCAGTGCAGGGGATATCCAAAATACACATGCAGAAATAGGTAAAGAAACTGAGTGTTTACATTACAGCTGAAGGGTAATTTACACACAAAAATATCTGTATTGTAAAGCTGTGTTTAAAATTCAGCATGTTTAAAATATAATAGAACTTTGGTAAAATAATATATCCTTCCAAGTCTCAATCATCTAAGTGGGCAAGAACTTTTTGGGTCCAAGAGACACTCTTTTTCTAGAGACTGCCTCCTTTTGCAATGAAATCTAAACTACAGTTAAAAACATTTTTCTTAGCTAACTACAAGCCAACACAATAGCATTTAGCTAAACCTGCAAACAAAGCAAAACAATACATCCATGGATTATTTATGCTTTTCTAGTAGTTTAAAGTTTAAATCAATTTATTGCAGACTGAGGCAAGCAGCTGGACTGAGGACCTAAGGTGAATAAAGCACTGCTCTGCTTTCTTAAATGAGTCAAACCTGTGTAGTGACTGGAGGACGCCACGCATCTCAAAGCTCCGTGAAGGTTATGTGAAAACTGGCTACAGCTTTCAGCACTAACTCATCAACTGCCATGGGGAAATCTGCTTAAGTACAGAGTGCAGTGCATGGTTAAGTCTATGTACTTTTCAGAACGTCCCTAAAGAAAGGAGGCAGTTATGACGATACTTGAAAGAGAAAGGACCTGACTGTAATTAGGGAATAAGCGTGCATTAGAGATTTCTAAAATTTAATTTGGATACCATAATACATCTCAGTTCTCTTTCCTTAACAAACAACAAGAAAAACTTCTGACCTAAAATAAGCTTCTATAAAAGCAGATATAGCAGCTATTACTCAGCCTTTTTATTGTACTATTACCCTGAAAACACCACTCAGATATATGGTGTTGTACTTGTCCTACAAATATATGACATAATCCCTACCCCAAAGAATTTACAATTTATATATTATAAAGTCTAATTATCATGTAAGCATAAACCAGAAACCCTCCTACAAGTGGCAAAGTTTTGAAAAATCAAGATAATTGCAACCACAGGACATTCTGATTTATGAGTCTATTTTTAGAACGGTACAGCCTGATGTGCTCTAAGCTTTTTTTATATTTGCATAAGTGCTCTGTGATTCCTCCCCTGAAATTTGTGCATATGCTCAGTCCATGTGAAATGCTACCGCTGGCAATTGTCATAAGAATTAAATCCCTCTCAAGCTGTTTACAGCTCAGCACTTGTCATACTGCTCCCCTGAGCTTCATGGCTGGTTTCTTCTTTCTCTGGCTCTGTGAAAGATTTAATTTCTTTTTGTTTATGTGTGTACCTAGACTTGCAGGTGCAGAAAAGAAAAAAATGTTGTATCCAGATGAAGCTGCACTAGCATACATACAGCTGAAATTAAGGAGAAAAACTGTAGCAGGTAAAACCAACTTTGTCATACAGTATTTAGTATGTAATAAATCTATCATGGTTCATTGACAGGAAGACTGTTGAATTCAGTTTTAGGAAGACCACAATGTTTTACAGTTTCTGTCTCTGTGCTTTTGCAAAGAGCTTTTTAAAGTCTAAAGGTGTTCCAATTATTCCTATTTTCAATTTCACTAATATGTTCTTGTAGTGGTTATGGACTCCATCATCAATACAGTTACTGCGTACCAAGCTGTCTTACCTCATTACTGAATTTTTTGTCCCTCAGGAAGTTTTATCCAGATTTTCACCCATACTTTGCAAAATGTATTGTTAAAAAAAATTGCCCTCTTGCTTCTGTAGTAATAGGAGAAATCATTCCCTGGTTTGCCTATAAAGACTCTAGCTCTAATATCTCAAATCACATCTAGTTAAGGTCTACTTCACTTTAACAGCACGTGCAGACAGCCTTTCCGCAATCAGAACGGCTGCTAATTTCTTGGTTCAAGTTCACCACATGCTTTGAGACGCTTTCTTTAGACATGCGTGTTCCTGGTCAAGTAAGTTTACTCGCGCAACTATGTGCAGAATAATGTGGGTCTTTTGCTAACTTTTTAGATCGGCATCTGATGCGGAACCCACTCGACTTTTAAAAAACACTCCTGTGAAGCCTAAACGGATTAATCTGCTTTTCTTTTAGCTCTTTTCAGCTTCAGCAACTTCCTCTAGAGCTTCCACTGGTCACGGTGTGGAAGAGTCAGAGCAGTGGCTCTGTGACATGACCTCAACAATCACAGCGCTCTCCCTGCTGTCGCAGTGAGGAAGACTCTTTTATATATCTTTGTTGGTTTTTCTCTGGATTTCCAATTATGACCAAAATAAATTAAAAACCCCTTTCTTTCTCCAGTGAGGTTCAGCGTATTAGAAAGGGACCATGAAATTGGTGACTACTAGATCTACAAATACGTAGAGCTATTTCTTCTTTCTAAACGCTTCGATTTTATGTCTCAGCATTACTAACTTTACTGTGCACAACTAAAATATACACTGTCAAACTGATGGCAGAGCAGTAAAGATATGTTTGTGTAAAAAAGGAGGAGAGGAAGTCCATTTCCCATGCTAGGCAAAAGAACACCAAGATAGTTAAACTGAAGCTGCTTTTACAGCATCCCCAAAATGCAAAGTGTTGCGCAAATAAAAAAGACAGCGCTGACTTAATATGGTCTCCAGCAAGCATAAAGGTTTCCTACTCTGTGCATGTTCTTTTCAGCGGATTAAATAAAAGACAAGAGACCTCAGTGGATAATACGCGTGAGATTCAGAAAGCGCTTTTCACCTTCCCTGAAGAACATACAGCAGTGAAATATATTTAGCTTGACGGACAAGAATTATTACTTCATGTTTAACTGAGTGAAGTTTGTCAATTATTACCTTTACCTAATCGTTGTACGTTATACTCAAGAATATCAGTTTACAGTCAGGTCAAATCTCTTTCTACTGTGAAGCAACGGATAAGAGACAGTTTGGTCAGATACTGCACAGAATCTCATATTTCTTGATAGAGACCTCTACTCTCATTAACTAAAAGACTAAAAGCGGAAGTATTTTGCCTGTACATGTTCTGTACTCCAGTCACACTAAAGTTCCCTTTTCCCGCTGCTTCTTATTGATCTTTTATTGCAATAAAGCATCTCGACAATCCAACGACACTCTTTGTTTGCTGCTCTGTATTTTTCTGGAGATTCTGTTCAGCAGAATTCTTACCAGCTTTAGTGTCCCCTATAAGGAAGAGACTGTGGCTCTTACTGCAGGGAATCAAATGTTCAGGGTGGATATATTTCACCCAGTCTAATTAGGGGTAAGCAAGAGCCTGATCTTTAAAATATTTTTTCATAGTTCACCCCCCACTTGCCTCATTTTATGCAGGGTAACATACAAATGATATAAAATAGATGTGATCAAGAAAAGTACAAGTGGATTATAATCTCTGTCAAACAATGCATTTTACTTTGATGGAAAGAATCAATGCGTTTGTAAGGACTGTGT